TATCACCAAGTAAGGACCTCCTTTCTACATACAAAAATCATTATCACTTTAAACACCATTAAAAAAGGGATAAAATAAGACACTATAGAAATAGCATTTCCACTATTTGAAATCCAGAAGCACAAAATAATTAATTACGGTATAACTAAGCAACAGCGAAGTTGCCTAGGATATTTTTAAAAATAGTGCATATAGCAAGGTTTAAACTCAATAGATGCTGGTCAACAAGAAAATCAATGTCATATTCTGATAAAGATATAAAGTTTCCATTTATAATATTGAGTTGTAAAAGAAACAGTAAATATAAAACCTGATGAAAATTATGGAATTAAAAGGTACCTGTACTATCAAAATGATTGCAGCCACAATAGGTGGGCCAATCACAACAGATAATATAATACTTTTGATCATGTCCTTGATGAATAGACCTATCGTTTGCTGTACCACGGCAAAAATGCAAGTTCCAAGGAATAATGATGGTGTAAATATAGCACCTCAGTGCAAGTATGAGTACAATATCATGAAGTCAAAAAAATAAATAGAATAACTGCAGTCACGAACTCAAAAGGTATACCTTGTTGAAACCATGGCGAGCCTCAATCACAAATGTCGAGTACAAAGTAAACGGCAAGTCCGTGATCTGCAGAAGTACTTATGTGTAGAATAAGCATAAAAAGAAAATTTATACGGAGTACTACTACTAATCATGATGTGCTAGGTTTTTACACCTGAAATTTCGTGACACGTCAAAGAATTATAAATGTATATGGCAAAGTAGATGAGATTGCCTCAAAGAAAGGCATCTAAGATGGAAACTTTAATGTTGCCAAATAGACCAGAAAACACACCTGTGACCAAACCATTACACCAGCTAAAAACGCAAGTGTGTGCAGTATCTCATTTTCTGTGTTAAGACCAAAGAACACCAAGGCATCTCCTGATTTCTACATCAATAATTGTAGGAGCAGCAGTAGTAAATAACAATAATAATAATAGTAATAATAATAATAATAATAATAATAATAAATCAGTGGGTTTCAGATGACAGAGAATGCCTCAAGATAGTTAACCACTCACCTTCCAGAACCAAGGTAAGATCCCACACAACAGAATTATTGAGTCCATAAGTATGCTGATATACTCATGGAAAAAGTGAAAATAGCTGGGGAAAATATTTAAGACCCACCAACAAGAAAAATATAAGTAAATAGATTAATTGAACAAAAACCCATGAACAAAAAAGAGTTAAATCAAACAAACCTTTTATCAAGACTATAAGCTTGGGCCTTCTCAAACTTTTCTTGACTTATTACCCCTACCAAAGGTTTAGGAAGTGTTGGGACCTTGAGAGCGGCGTGCTGCCTTATATTGAGGTAAGTTTCAAAAAAGTACATGAATATCATAAAACCTGAAAGGTTTAAAAACATGGAAGAAAAATCAGTTACCAACCAAACTACAAAGGCAGCACCCTACAGTACACTGCACATAATAAACTTCAGAAGACAAAAATTCTGAGAGCATTTTCTTGAGATGTTGCACTAGGTTATCAAATTTCTTGGAGTTCGAGAGTAATCATTGTTAAGGCCTATGGGAGTGGGGGTTATCTTCATTCATGATCCTAGACTTAGATGTGCATTAAGTGAGACTTAGCTAGTACTTTTCTCTCTACTATGCTTGCCTACTTTACAATCTATTGTCCTTGTTTTCGTTCAATGCTTTTTTATTCATCGAATATTTTGCCTGACAAATTTTCACCCTGCTGTTCACACCAGCTTTTACCATTAGATGTCTTTTTTTTGCTAAAAAAAACTAAAGAAACTCTCAGAAATTTCAAGGACTTTAGACTTTTTTTTCTGAAAATGTATCATCATATAGCCTCCATTGAGTTCCCTTAATCAACGGGAAAAAACACCTCAACAGTTTTTTTCTAAAACTATATAAATCACCCTCCTCGAGCCCTACTTCCTAATGGCACTTACTGGTATGTTTGGTTTGGTTATCAAATGCCTGGCACTTCATCAAAAGTGATTTCTATTAAGTAAGGTGCTACATTGCATGAGGTTTCTACTCTCAAGTTGATGCTCAACCGTTATTTTTCCAAAAATCAACAAAAACATGAAAGCTTCAAGTGGATATCTGGATCTCATTATTGGTTTTCTAGCAAAGAAACAAAAAGGGATAAGTTTTAAATATCAAAGACCAGTTCTTTTCAATTCACCATGTGGTTTATATGGATCAATGAAGACTATCTCAGATAGTCTGTCTAAATAATGTTGTAAGAGTTGCACTTAGACTGCTGACATTGTTTTACAATATCTCTTGAGTCTTGACTGCATTCTAGTGTGGAGCATACATCTAAGAAATAAGGTCCCACTTTAATTCTAATGTCTAGAATAACATCTTCATAGATCCAAAAAAAATGCAACCATTAAACTTATTGCAGTCATACAAATTTGAGGCGGGAAGCACAAAATAGCAATTCCAGTTATTCCACATGTAACAATTTTCACCATTCTTCACAAAGAAGAAACCAAAATCATAACTATACCAAAAAAGGACAAACTTTAAACCTCGGAGCTATAATAACAATTGGAAAAAATCAGTTAAAGATTACTTTTTTGTGTGAAAAATTATACTATTTCGGTATTTCCTCCATGTTTCTCAAATTCCAACGGTTCGTTTTTTTTTTCATTTATACCATCACGATTGTGAAATTTCCATCCCAAACCCCAATCACAATCGGAGTTAAGAATAAGCTTGGGATAAGTCAAATCCAAAAACGAAAAAAGGAAAAAAAACAATAATGAAATCCGGAATATGTCCATATAACCTATCAACAAACCTAACGCATACAAATGCAAATAACACTCGGCATACAATATATGATACTCCGGATTCGCATAACAGCGGGGGAATATTAGAGCGTACCAACGACCGATTCCATGTAAGGAAATGCCATGGCAGAGTTTTTTTTTGTTGCAGTTACAGTTTCACACGGAGAGAGAGAGGTTTCTAGTGAGGTTCTGAGATTCCGTTCGGGGTGGGCTGAGGAGGGAGGACGGCTTTCCCTTCTTTCACTATCCGGAATTCCGGGTCTATCCAACCCGGGTCAGCGAGGTCCACAATGGTTGTGAAAGGAAAAGAAAATGAGGACGAAAACATTTGGTTAGAGAAGAAAAGAAAAGAAAATTGAAAGGAAAAGAAAATGAGAAAGTAAAATGTATTAAGAGGATGGAAAACCAAATTCCTCTCATTTTGGTGAGGAAGCTAATGGAAAACCATTTTCTTTTTTTTCCTTCCAAATTCCATGAACTAAATATAGTGTAGAGGTCTCTTTGGCAATAGGGTTAGTGATTAGCGTTAGCGTTTTGAAAATGCTATTTACGGGCAGCATTTAGCGTTAGCGTTTTCAAAGTAATATATACCGTTAAAATTTTATCTAGAACGCTAACGCTAATCTCTAACGCTATTTCCAAACAGGTCCTAGATTTGAGAGAGAGTTGTATTTGATTTTAATATTCATATCTGAAAATGTGTATTTTCTCTTTTTTAGTGGCTCGAAATGTAGATGTTATGTTTTTTTAAAAAGTCGCAATTCATTCATAATGTTTACGTATATTACTGTATAATGAGTATGGACTTTAGGTGCACCGAATAATTTACTTAGATTTGATTCCACATTTAGAAATATTTTTAATTTTAACTTAGAACAATTTTAATTTCAATGACCTGATTGGATCAAATCGGGCCTGCTCAAATAAAAAATTATTTTTAATTGAAATCATATTAAAACGTTTCGATTTAGATTATACTATAAAGATTTAGACCGTACCTTAACAAATTAAAATTGAAATAAAACAAATTAGACGAAGACAAATGCATTGTCCATGAGTATCAGATTTTGGTATAGAGTATAGTGGTGTAAATTCCATCGGGTAAAGTAAATACGTGACCAGTCGAGTTAGAGAAACCTAAGTGGGTGAGTAAAAAGTAAGCGAGAAAGTAAAAACACACAAAGCATCACTTAGACCGAAATATATCTCCTAGGTCAGAATATATTTCTTACTCTCTCTCTCCCTCTCTCAGGTATACTCTGTTTACGGGAACAGAATTGAATGTCCTTCACCTAACTCTATAAGAAGCTATTTATAAAGAAAAGGAGTTATGGAATCGCTCAATAACAGACATGGGAGGGGGTACTGTCCAATCAATACCTCTTGATGGAACACAAATCTGACTAGGAGAAACTATTTTTCTATACTAATCTCCTAAGTGATTCGTCGTGGACCTTTCGAAATATCATTAAGATACTAGGGTTTACTAGTGGCAGTCCAGCTCGATCGTGACCCCCGGTAATAATCCAAGAGTATGATTGGTTGTATTGTCACGGAGCTTGGAACCCTAATTTTCTAGAGTTATGATGCTTTTAAAATCGTGACTTGTCACTCGGAGCCAAACACAAAATAGTTCCCAATATTATGCAATTAAAGAAGACAAAAGTGTGACCGGTCGGCGGACACCCTTTCCCGGGATTGACAGGTCACCGGGCATCGATTAGAAATCACATGCAATGCTCATTCTAAAATATGAAAACAGTGACTGATCTCCTAACCCCTAGGGTTGACCGGTCACCGAACACCCGACATGAAACTGTCGCTGAGATCGCTGATCGGTTTTTGATCAAACTATAAGTCCATTTTTGGCACGGATTATGGGAGTTTCCACGCTAACTTTTTTCCTCTTTTCTCTTCAAAGTTCAATCTAAGGAAAAACACCTTGAAATGTATGTTTTCTTTGCCTTTATTTTTTTCTCGCAATTTCTATTTATACTCAACTAATGTCTTTTTTGGAAAAAGTGTTTTCAATTAGCGTTAGCGTTTTGGATAAAATATTAACGGTTTAGATTAATTTGGAAAATACTAACGCTAAAAACTACCATCAAATAATGTTTTCAAAACAGTAACGTTAATCTCTAACATTGATGTTAAAGGGGACCTAAACCAACTTAAGAGCCTGCCAGCCTGGTGGTGTTTTGCAGACCGCGAACCGGTCCGAGTCCATCCCAACGAAATTCGGGTGGGTCTGCTCAAGCCGTCTAAGCAAGTTGACCCAACGCGTAGACACTTGACCAGCGTATCATCAACTTCCGGCCTTCCGCAGTCGAAATTCTCCATTGATGGAACTGGAAAAACTCTCCATGGATTATTTAGCACAAGCTCCCATCGCCTTAGCAATGGCGAAGCACGAGCTGCCTTTCGCTCTCGCCTTTTCTTCGTTTCTCCTCTTCGTCACCGTCGTCTCCTCCTCCTCCTTCTCCCCCGTCGACCACTACCTCATCAATTGCGGGTCCCAGGGCAGCGCCGTCGACCTCGACCACCGCCGTTTCGACGGAGACTCGTCATCGAATTCGCCTCTGATCTCTCCATCCCACTCGGTTTCGCTCGCCGACTCGGACCCTCGTCCCGGATCATCCCCGATTTACCACACGGGTCGGGTCTTCAACCGGCCATCCAAGTACGCTTTCAGTATCAGAGATCCGGGCGCTCATCTCGTACGCCTCCATTTCCAGGTACTGAACACGGGTCTCGATTATTCCAATGCTCAATTCTACGTTTTGGCGAATGAGTATGTGTTGTTGAACAGTTCTAGCATCGAAGCGATCTGGAATTCCGCGGTGATCAGAGATTACGCAATTAGGGTTGATTCGGATAAGCTCGTGATCGCCTTCGTCCCCTCTGAGAAATCAAAATTCGCTTTCGTCAATGGAATCGAAGTACTTTCAGCTCCAAAAGATTTGATTGCAGATTCAGCTCAGGATCTCAATTCTCATAAAAACGAACGAATCGATGGATTATCGAAGAATGCTCTAGAAACAGTGTACAGAGTCACCATGGGAGGGCCGAAAGTAACCCCATTCAACGACACTCTGTGGAGAACTTGGCTGCCTGATGATGAGTTCTTGGTGAAGCCTGGCGGCTCTTCAAAGGCCTACTATGGCGGCCATATACAGTACCAGGCTGGCGGCGCAAGCCGAGAAGTGGGCCCGGATAATATGTATAACACGGCAAGAATCATAAAGAGTTCGAGCGATTTGATCCCCAAAGCTAACATCTCATGGGCTTTTCCTGTGGAAGAGAGCTACAAGTACTTAGTGAGAACACACTTTTGTGACATCAGTAGCTTGTCAAGTGGTCTGCTGTACTTCAACGTTTATGTCAACGGGTTCTTGGCTTACGAAAACATGGACCTCACGGAGATCACAAACGGGATGTTGGCATCACCATTCTATGCTGACTTTGTGGTTGACGGGGGCGAGGGCAATTCTGGCATCTTGACTGTCAGTGTGGGCCCGTCTGATATGAGTGTGGCGCGCGCTGTGGATGCCATTCTCAATGGAGTTGAGATCATGAAGATGAACAACTCAATGGGGAGCTTTGGTGGCGAGGTCTGCGCGGGTTATGTTTTGAGGAGGTGGGGGAGGACAAGGAACCGGGACGGTTTTGCCCTTCCTCTGTTGGCCGGTGCGGTTTTCTTGCTGCTGATAGGAAGTGTGGCTGTGAAGAGGAGTTTCAGGTTCGGTGACTCGTTTGTTTGGTCAAGGTTGCCATTGGAGGTTCCTGAAGGTGTTTCAAAGCTCAGCAGCATTCAAGTCTCATCAAATAAAGTTTGATGTTGTTCATAACTCATAAGGCCACAAGTATAGTGTGTGATTATATTGGGTATGTTGTAATTGTTGTACTCCCTATGTCCCAAAATAAGTCGTATGTTTACTATCCACAGGGTCTATTTTCGTTCACTTATATCTATATCTTCGTTACTCATTTGATACTACGTAGAATAGTATAGTTATGTTATTTCTTTTTGTACAATTTTTTTATATAATTTTCTAATATGTAAATTTTATGTTTTAACATAGATTGTGACTAAATTGAGACGATGAGAGTATTTTTTATCAAAATAAAGTAACATTTGAGTATTAAATGAACACAACTTGAACACCGAGGAATTGGTTGGTATTCATCGGAAACAATAGATTGAATCAAGTCATGAAAACAATAGATGAACAAACACATGACGACAACATAGAATACTTGACCATGTTTTATTCATTAAACTCACAAAGTTTGTACAAACATTCCCAAGTAAGAATCATGTGAAACATGCGCCATTATTGAAAGCTGTTTGTAGACACCACTAGGCATTGGTAACACATGATTACAATATTCTCACAGGACCTGGAAAATGCTACTAATTCCATATGCACAACATTATAAGAGGAAAAAAATGAAGAATGTTTTTTTTAATACCAAAAGAATAGTTTTCACCCATCTCGTGTCACAGGGCAGGTGGAGGATAATTCGGGAATGGGTGCCCTTGGGCGGACGGTGGTGGCGGCGGGTGACCATAGCCATGTCCTGGTGGTGGGTAACCATAGCCCTCTGTCGGTTGTGAGGGAGGTGGTGATGCATAAGGATAACCCTGTACTGGCGGCGGTGGGTAACTGTATCCCTGCTGATGGGGCGGTGGTGGGGGTGGGTATGCCGAGGGAGGCTGACCATATCCTGCTGGTGGAGGGAGGGGCTGATCCATACGAGACATATATTGAACTGGTGGAGCCGCCATTGGAGCATGCCCTCCTCCCAGTTTGCCATCTCTTTTGTCCATCTCAACTTTGTGTTGTGTCTATGAAATATATGCATATGATCACACACCGACAAGAAAACCTTTAGAACAGTTCATTAAAAGGGACTGGATGAAATGAATATGAACTAAATCAAACCTTACTTTGGCTCGACTTCCGTTTGAGGTTGTTCATTTTTCTTCAAGATTCAATGTGTGTTCACTTTTTAAATGTGGTTTGACCCAAGTATCCTATGTTCGGATACTCTGTTCTACTTCTATCATTCTGGTTTATTATGGTTCAAGAAAATCATTTCTGAACTATATAATTGAAACAGATATGCTTCGATTCCAGTTCGGATTATTTTGGTTTGATTCAGTTAAACACACACACACACACACACACTATGCACCTACCTGCATACAGGAGCAAACCCTGCAATGGAAAAGAAACAAAAAGTAAGCTTATGAACAATGAGGAAAAAGTAAAAACTATGAATTTGTGAGGGTGTGGGTGTGGGGGAGGTCTTACGAGCAGTAAACGGCAACGGAAAAACAATTCAACAACTGGGACAGATCCTCGAGCTCCTCACTTCCAAGAATGCAAGCAATGCAGCTACATATGCATGCCAGCTGCTGGAGGCAGAACATGAATCCCTATATCCCAGGAAACAAGGTAGAATAAATGATGATGATGATGATGTAGAATAAAGAGGCAATCATCATAATAACATGAAATACAAGCCCCAAATGGAGAAATAGAGAGAGAGAGATTACAATAATGCAATTATCACACTGTGTAGTCTGTATGTTGAACTCATCTTGTAAAATAAAGCGAGTTGAAGCAACTGAATTCGCGAAGCAACAAAACACCTAATCATAGGAAACAATGCCCGCAGATCTTCATTAAAAATTATGATTAAAAAAACATTATAAGATCAATAAGAAAAAAAGAAAGACGTACCTCGGTGCAAAGACAGAGTTCAGGACAATGACTTTCCCCACATCTACCGCTGCAAGGCATGTACCCCCCACAACATGTATATCTGTTGATGAAGACAAAGATTTCAAACTATGCTAAGCTTCTTTCTTTCTGTAAATAAAAATTTCAGCTTTCTACACAGCTTTAGCTCTAATGCAGAAAAAAGACGGTGTTACCTAGACATGTCATTATAAAGAGCTCTCTTGCGCAGCAGGTATGAAGCACATGGAGCACTGATCATAATCAGCAGTTACACTAGTAAGAGAACATGATAAAAGAAAACACTTTTCCAGCGTTTAGAAATATAATCTGAAACTTGTAGTCTCTGTTTCAGAGATAAAAAAAACTCAAGAACATTGAAGAGAACTAACCCAAACTAAATTGCATTCTTGCAAGTGACTTAAAGGCTTTCATTTTTTATGGCTAATAATACGGTTTCATTTCAAACGATAAAGTTTACACCAAAAACTATTGGAAAAAATACTTTCTCCCTCCCAATAAAAACTTTATCCATTTTCTTGGATGTCTCAAATACCATTTCACACTTTTTCTTTATTTCTTTTTTAGTAGTGAAGAATTGAGTCACAAGATTTCTCTCCAATATAAACTAATTCCAACCAAACACTTTTCAACATTTTTCTTAAACTACCCCTTGAAATTCAAACACGCAAAGATTTTGTTTTTTGGGGACAAATGGAGTAAATCAGAAAGCATGGTTCCAAGTAGTTTCAGAAGCAAAACTCACCAACACATAGAGAAGCAACAGTCTGCAAAAAAAACCAGAAAAAAACAAGCATTAGATAACAAAAATAATCTCAATTCCATCATTACGGCTACTAAAATCAAGCAAAAAAATGAACAAGAATTTCTCGAAAAAGTGACTTGCATAGAGGATCTGCGAAAGTGGCTTTCATGAGATCGGTGTGCCAGTGATTGCGATAGCTCTGGCGAGCCTGCATTTTCTGCACATACTCGTCGTTCCCCATCCTTGGCCCAATTTCCGGGTCGGGTCACGGTGAAGAATCCGGTGCCTGTTTTAAACAAGAAGCCGCGAGCCTGACAGTGTGAATCAGCGTGCTCGCAATGAACGCCGGGGGCTTATATCACCGGCGTTTTGGGTTAGGCATTTTCCGCGTCCGTGCGGCGGCTGAAGACTTTTGGGAGCGAGAGGTATGGCGACTGTGATTGGGTTTGACGACGACCCATTCTAGAACACATGAAAATGTGAATCGATCCCACGCGGAATGGTCCATTGACTAGGAGTATCCGATTCAACTTTGAACAATTTACATTTCCCCAAATTTTTACTCCTCCTCCCAAATTATTTGCAACGTTTGTTTTTTCAGCAATCGTAGGAACTTTTGTTTATTTCTACATTTTCATTGGTTATTTGAAAAAATAAAATATTCTTGACACCTCTTATTTCGAAGAACTTTTCATGTAGTTTTTTGATATGTAAATTTTATTTTTTATTTTTATACCAATATGTAAATAAAATGAATTTAAAAAACTTGATATTTTACCTCGGGAATACAAGTGTGGCAAATATTTAGGGACGGAGGTAGTAGAAAACAATATGCACTACATATCAATGATTCTCCAAGCTAAATTACGATTGGTCCTTCATTTTTATAAGTTGTGCATGATTGAACTTTCAAATTCCAAGTCCATAAATAGTCCTTCAACTTGGAGAACGAATCGTGCATAACTCATAAAATTAAAAACTATTCATGTACTTTTAAAACTTGAAGGATCAATCGTGCACAACTCATAAAGTTGAATGATCAATGGTGGATTTTAGCCTTGAGAAGACAATGTTAAGTTTATTTGAAAACAATAAACAAACATGGGAGAAATCTATGAATGAGAGTAAAAAAACTATGAAAATATCAAAATATGAGTGATAAAACTTTTAATACCTAAATATAAGTTTAAACTGCTACACTCGCCACATTGTCAAATTTAACTCTTATACTACACTATCACTGATACACTGTCATCCATCGCCTCCGCCCACCAGAGTGCCACCGTGTATCACCGATGTTTGACTAATAACACTGGCATACGACAGTATCATTAATTTTCCATCACACTGCCAACGCATACTCTTACATCATACAGTCAACATATTCTTATTTTAGTATTTTCATGCTCTTTAACTTTATCTAGGGAGATTTCTTAACAAATAAATATCGTGTGTAAAGTGTAAAACTATAAATGCTCCATATATAATGTAAAATAGATTTAAATGTGACAACGTATGAGGTGCAATTCAGTTGATTGAGAGAATAATATCATAAGAGATATTATGTATGATTAACTTGTGCTTGACTTTTAACAACAATGAAAGTATGATGTTTTTGTACGTACTAGAGACATGTCTCATTATTTGTCGTAGATGTACGTGAATTGTACAATCTACATATCAATAATGCTATTTGTATATAGAGTACAACATTTTTAAATCATTTTTTGTATATCAAAGTTTTACATTGATATAAAATGTGAGTGCAATAGCAATATTATGCCAGATTTGTACTTATATTTTGTATCAGTATAAAATTTTAAATGTAGGCATAGTTCTTTTGAGTTGGACAAAATTAACTTCCAACCTTTTCCAACTCATTTTAGTTTCTTCAAACTTCTTCCAATTTTTTCTAATTTATTTTAGCTTCTTTCAATAACGACGTAAAAAAATGTATAAGTATACGATGAATATACAATAAAAGTATATATTCAAATTTAGAACATACCACCTCAAACACTAACAAAAAATAGAATCATTTTAATCCAAAATTAAAGTTTTTTTACACATTTATTTAGATCAAAATTTAATTCAATGGTTAATTCTTCCTAACATTTTCATACCTTTAGTATTTTTAAAGAGTAATTTACTTAAATAAGACTAAAACATAATGACTTTCCTAATATAGGATCATATGTTTTTATTTCCCAATGTAAGACTTTTGGTTATTATGAATTAGTCATTATTCAACTAAATGTCTATCATTACTGGACATTATTCCTCCCACAAGGTCGTTATTAAGTCTTATTTAGGGAATAAAAAAATTTAAGTCCTAAATTAGGAAAGTCATTATGTTTTAGTCCTATTTAGTGTAAATTTTACATTTTTAAACTCAACACAAAGGTAGAAAAAGTAGGAGCTGCTAAAGCCACTTGAAAAGGAAAGCGAGCTCCTCGTGAAACATGAGAGTCAAAATGATTCGATGATCCACTCAAAATCTCATCAAAATCCAGAGAATTTCTTCACAGGATTGATTCCGGAGCGGCTCGATGGTCAGAAGCCCCATTTCGGGTTGCCCCGACCCGAATACCCGCCTCCCGTTCCTCTTCTTCACTCTGTACTGCGTTGTCCTCATTCTCCTCCTCCTAGGTTGTCTCTCGAACGGACATGTACGAGGTGGCAGCGCCGTCACTCTATCCAGCTTCACCTACGCGAAAACTGCGCTCGGGCCTTATGATTGGCGCTATATTAGAGGTTTTTTCTTCTTCTACCCATACTTTGTTGCTCTGTCTTTAGGATTTTTCTGAGGTTCTCAGGTTCTTATGGCTGACTTGTGTTATAAAGGTCCAGTCTTGCATCGTATATGAGGAGTATATATACAATTTTGGTGTAAAAAAATTATATATTTAAAAACTACATCAACCCGGTTGTAGCATATAATTTTCCTAAGTTGGGATCAGTATAACGCGAGGGGTTGGTGTTTTGCCTACCCTAAAGTTGGATTGATAAAGCAATGCCGCACCGGTTGTGACATTAGTTTAGTTGGACTTTGGGTTTGATTTCTGTTTATCTGTTTGTTTCAGTTGACTTGCCCCCGTGGTTCTCTTCAGTTGACATATCTATAGAAACAGATGTAGATATTGTAAGTAGGTAGCCAACCCCCCATTTTTAAACCTATTTTTTATTTTCCATGATGTAAATTTTCACTTTTCCTTCTTGCAGGACCTCGGGAGGATTAGAAAGTCGCCTGAAAGTTCATGGCCAATTATATGCTTCAGAGAAGGAAGCCCTCCGCTACCTGATGTCTACAACATCTCTGATTCTGGACTAGGTAAAAATACACGCACTTTTGAACTTGATGCAATAATTAGTTTATGTTCCCCATTCATAGGGATACACACACACACACACACATATAGTTTGGTGGCGTGCATTGTTGATGAAGTTATCCCACATCACCTAAATATGAATGAATGAACCCCTTAGGCCCCGTTTGGTACATGGAATTTAAACTATGGAATTGGAATTGGGGACTTCAATTCCAATTCTAGTGTTTGGTAGCACAAATATTATGTAGATTTGGAATTGATAGTGCAAAAAATGAATTGAAATTGACAGAATTCAATTC